GACCCCCAACGATCTGCTGTCCAGCTCAGCCATCTCAGTTGCTAGGGATGCCAGCCTCCAGGTGGGACCTGGGGATCCCCTGGAATTACGGCTCATTTCCAGACTAAAGAGATCAGTTCTCCTGGAGAAAATGGATGCTTTGGAGGGTGGAGTCTATGGTGTTGTACCCTACTGAGGTCCCTGTCCTCCCCGGGCTCCATCCCCAAATCTCCAGGACCTTCCTAATCTGGATCTGGCAATGCTAACCCCCACCCCCCCATCTCCTGCTGGTGGGCAGGGGGAACTGTCAACCGGGCTTGTAGCTATGGTGGGGCTGGGGGGGCTCTGCCCTCTTTCATAAAGGCACAGCCCCACATGGATTTCTCCCATAAATGCTTTTTTCAATCATTTAAAAACATTTTTAAAAGGCAGTTTGGAGTAGTGGTTAAGTGCGGGAACTCTAATCTGGGACAACCGGGTTTGATTCCCCACTCCTCCACTTGCAACTACTTGGGCAAGCCATAGTTCTGGTACAGCTGTTCTTGAAAAAGAGCAGTTTCTGTCAGAGCTCTCTCAGCCCCACCTACCTCACAGGGTGTCTTTTGTGGGGAGGGGAAGGGAAAGGAGTTTGTAAACCACTCTGAGACTCCTCTGGGTAGTGAAGGGCGGGATATGAATCCAATCTCTCTTCTATTCTTCTATTCTTCTTTAAGCAGAGAGGCATGCTATAGTTGACTAATTCCCGCACCTAGCAAGAGGGTTGGAGTAGTTGCTCTCTAGGATCCCTTCTAACTCTGTGTCAAGAAACTGGTCACCTTTAAGAGAGTTTTCCTGCTTAAGTGTTAGCTTTCTTGATTGTAGAAGTCATCACCCCCACCTGCCGGCTTGTTCTCAGAATAGTTGCTTAGGCTGGCAGAAGTGATTAACTTGCAGCAGCTGAGAACTGTCATCTAAAGTGGTTGACAGCTCGCAATTTAGACATCTCTCCTGGTAACAGCTTTCTATTGGCTAAATGGCTTTTCCTTCTGCACTGAGAAATTCAGCCCCACCAGAAAAAAAGATTGCCCCACAAGCCACAAAATCCTGGCCACGGGCCTGCTAGCAACCCTACATCTCACTCATCCTCATGGTATGGCCACAAACTTGTTTAGCCATTGAGTCACAGCCAAATTATGGCAACCCTGTAGGGTTTTTGAGGCAAAAGAAGCTCAGATGTGGTTTACCATTACCTGCCTCTGTGTAGCAACCCTAAGGTTTCCTTGGTGGTCTCCCATCCAAGTACCAACCAGGGCTGACCCTGCTTAAGCTTCTGAGATCAGACACCTTGCTAGATTGCTTCTGTGTCTGGAGGATGCAGAGCTTCTTGCAAAGCTATAGAGTAAGAAGCCCTGTGTTTAGCAGCAACTGCAACTCTATGCCTCTGTTCCAACCCGACCTTTGCATGGGAAATCAAATCGCTTGTATCCGATTGTTCCTTGCAAGCCCTGGTTGCCATTGTGCTACTTCTCCGGGGCTGGAGGGTGGAAACAGTTTCTTCCAAGTCAGACCAAGTGACCTTAGAACAACTCAGTACTGGAGGCTAATTTTATTTTTCTACATTGCAGCTGCAAGGCTGAGGCTGGCAGAGACGGGTTTGCCTAAGCAGGCCCTCCAGTGAATTCACAGAGAGCTGCATTTTGCACCAGGAACTTTCCCCAGCTCTTTCTCACCCTACTAAATAAGTTGTTTTAAGGATCTGGTGCTTTTTCTTCCCCCAAATCCAACCAACAGCATGTGTGGAACCCCCCGATCCATGAAGTCATCATCTAGGGAAAGGTATGTGTGTGGGGTTGCATTTTTGTAAGTGTGTGTGTGTGTGTGTGTGCACGCCCATGCCTGGAAGCCATGGTGACCCCTAGTGGGGCATGAAGGATGTTTAGAGAAGTGGCTTGATAGCCTGCCTCTGCCTCCCAGCCCTGGTATTCCTTGGAGGTCCCAGGGCTCTTTTTGTAGAAAAAGCCCAGCAGGAACTCATTAGCATAATAGGCCATACCCCTGACTGCACCACTCATTAGCATATTAGGCCACACCCCCATGTTACCAGAAGTGTGCTCATCCAGCCACACCCACCTTTTGCTTCTTATTCTGTTTACCTTGTCTGTTGTCAAAACCCAGGGCCCTTTTTTGTAGCAGGGACTCCTTTGCATGTTAGGCCACACACCCCAAATGTAGCCAATCCTAATGAGTTTCTGCTGTTGGGTGTGGCCTGTTATGCTGATGAGTTCCTGCTGGGCGTGGCCAACTTGGGAGCCAGCCGGAACTCCGTTCCTGTGCGTTCCTGCCCAAAGATTGCCCTGGAGGTCTCCCATCCAAATACTTGCCAGGGTTGGCCCTGCTTAGCTTCTGAGATCTGACAAGTTCGGGCTTGCCTGGGCTCTCCAGGTCAGAGCTAGAGAAAGGCGTGTGTGTTTGTCTGTTTTGCTGACAAGTTACAGCCGATTTCTGGTGACCCCGTAGGGTTTTCAAGACAAGAGACAGTCAGAGGTGGTTTACCATTGCCTGCCTCTGCATAGCAACCCTGGATTTCCTCGGTGGTCTCCCATCCAAAGTACAAACTAGGGCTGACCCTGCTTAGCTCCTGATATTTGAGAAGCAGACTAGCCTGAGCTATCCAGGTCAGGGCAAAGAAAACGTTTATTGGGGGGCAGTCCCATGCCGTTCACCATCCTGTTTGGCAGCTCCAGTTCAGGACATTCCTGGAGATTCAAGGCTAATCTGGGAGAACCGGGTCTGAGTCCCCACTTCTCCACATGCAGCTGCTGGTGTGACCTTGGGTCAGTTACAAGTTCTTTCAGAGCTGTCCTCTCAGGGACAGTTCTCAGGAGAGCTCTCTCAGCCCCGCCTACCTCACAGGGTGTCTGTTGTGGGGAGGGGGAGGGGAAAGGAGATTGTAAACTGCTCTGAGAGTCCTTCAGGTTGTGAAGGGCAGGGTATAAATCCAATCTCCTCCTCCTCTTCTTCCTCCTCTTCTTCCTCCTCCTCCTCCACCTCCTCCAGAGGAACTGAACTCTGTAGTCTGGGGATCTGTTGTAATACCTTGGTGATCCCTAGGCCCAGCCTGGAAGATGCCGACCCAATGTTCTGCTGCTCGCCCCTTCGAAGAAAAGTGGGGAACTCCTCGCCAGAGGGTCCTTCCTTACAGTAGCACCCAGCTGATACAGTCCATAAGAACATAAGAGAAGCCAGTGTTGGATCAGGCCAGTGGCCAAAAATACCAGGGGCCATCAGGAGGTCCAGCAGTGGGGCCAGGGCACTAGAAACCCTCCCACTGTTGCCCCCCCCAAGCTCCAAGAACAGGGACAGCCCCAGCTTATTTTGAACCC